CACACACACACACGCTCACACACATACACACACATACACACACATACACACACAAACACACACACAGACACACACACACACACAAACACACACACACATACACACATACACACAAACGCACACATACACACATACACACAAAACACACACACATACACACACACAGGCACACACACATATACACACACACGCACACACACACATACACACATACACACAAACAAACACTTACACACGCATACTCACTCACACACACACACACATACACACATATACACACCCATACACACACGCACACGCACACACTCACACACACACGCACCCACACATTCACGCACATACACACACATACACGCACACACACACACGCACACACACACACACACACACATACATACATACATATTTGTGCCTGTTTGGCAATTTTGATCCAGTTTTAGTTGTTGGTGGTTGTTTTTGTTTGTTTTTTTGGCTCAACAATTTTAATGTTCACTTAAAAACAAATCTTTTTTGGCTCTCACTGAAAATTAGATGTTCAGTTTTTAAAGACTCTCAAGTTTTTTGAAATCACGAAACTTTGGCGGCCTTTTCCTCGTTAACTTTTACCACTGATGCCAGGTGATCGCCACATTTTTCAATTGCAAATATCTCGACTTCTGATATCACAATAGATGTGTATTTTTTTCTTACAGTTTTAAGGGCGCCCCCCCCCCTATAAATGAATAAAAATAGAGTTAACAAATTTTTAATTTTTTTTACATGAACCTTGATCCAAGAAAAAAACTGAGACGGAATTTTAAAGTTCTTTTTTTTTAAAACGAACTCTTTTGAACAAAACAATTCTTGTATCTTGATTACTAAGAAAGAGAATTCCATTAAGCTTTTAATTCTGGCACACATTATTAATACTAAAGGTGTATGAAGTTTGAACATTAGGGTGAAAGCAACAGAGAGAAGTCGTCAAAGAAGGTGAAATAATTCTTTAAATGTGAGGCAGCGTGAGGGAATCAGGATCTCGTCAAAGTAATCAAAGTGAGGAAAATTGCATTTTTCCGCAGGTTTGTGAATTTTAATCAAATGTTTGTTTTTTGGCTCAACACCTTTCTTTCCCATTAAAGAACTAATTTCTGTGTGGATTTTTCTGAAAAAAGTTGATTAAAGGTACAAAAAATGTTAATTTGCAGTTGCCACGGACTCTAAAGCTAAGGAAATAATTAATCTTGGTTGGCCATTTTCTCTCTAATTTTATCTATGAAAACAAGTGACCCCTACCTTCTTCTTTCGCAAATATCTCGACTTGTATTCAAGATAAATGGATATTTTTTTCAACCAGATAAAGAAAAATAAACAAGCTTTCAGATGATACCAATAACTCTACATGGCCAAAATTGACGAGAGCCTGATTCCACCACGCTGCCTCACAAATGATTCTCATCACGATAACTTTTAAGAACAAACGGGCTAACCCAGATTTCAGGGGTTTCCAGAAATCTTGACTTTCCCCAAAAGTGGGCATAGCCGTACCTATACGAGAAGTTTGGTTTCATTGGTGTGTAAATTTGTTTGGTTGTAAAGAAAACCCTCCTTGTCTTTTAGGGAAACTGAACATGGGTCCAAAAACTCAAAACAGCATTTTTTCGGGATAGTCCCCTTGTACTTAAAATGCGACCAAATCTAATATCACATTACTAATGTATCAGTCACAGTCAGATACAGGGGAAAGAAATAACTATCATCATTGTCGACGGACGAACTATTGTTATTGTATAAGTTAATTTGATCAATCAATTAGTTTGAAAACAGCTTTATAAAGGTTTGACTAAAAAGTGCAAGATATATTACTTTTTTAGTGCTATTATATTTAGTCTGACCAATTCAATATTTGAAAATAATCCATAAAGGTTTAGCGAAAAGCGACACCACACAATACTTGTACATTTTTATTTTCCAAGTCCCACTGCCAAAAAAAATTCGTGACAAGAGTTTTCAGAAATAATTTCACTGTAACAAAATGCTATCAGCTTCTGGCTAGACGATCTGCCATCTGTTGCTTTTGGCCGACATTTTGTTTGTTTGGAATCTTTGAGTATTATGTCCCCCCCCCCCCCTCCCCCTCTCCCCAATAACCCACATGCCTCATTTCTGTTTGTTTCAGGTGGCACAATGACCTCCGGGCAGAACATGTTGAAACTGACCGCTCTCTGTCTCATGCTCATGTGTCATCGAGGTCAGTACTGGTTATGTTTTTAGTTCAGTTTTAGTAGAGGTTTTACGGCGCTCTCAACTGCATAGGGTTATATGAGCGCCAGAAGATTAGAGGTGTTACAAGAGAGTAACAAACATAAAAAAGAAAAAGGGGAGAAAAGGACGTTCTTCTTCTTCTTCTTCTTCTTCTTCTTCTTCTTCTTCTTCTTCTTCTTCTT